GGACTGTGGGGTACCTGGGTTTACTACCTGCATCCACACGGCAGGAGGCCGGACTGTGGGGTACCCGGGTTTACTACCTGCATCCACACGGCAGGAGGCCGGACTGTGGGGTACCTGGGTTTACTACCTGCATTCACACGGCAGGAGGCCAGACTGTGGGGTACCTTTAGCCGCAGTAATCTTGAGAGCTCACAGGGGGGAAACAAGGGACTACAGCAAAGCCCCACATAGCCTTAAGCCTCTCTCCCTGTGTTCCCATCCCTTCTCAGATTGCCTCCGACTATGGAAACGATCCGTCCCTCACTGCCATCTTGGACACCCTGGATATCTTTCTGTTGCCGGTCACAAACCCTGATGGATATGTGTTCTCTCAAACCAAAGTAAGCGGGGCCCATTTCCCTCCGCCAACCCAAGGAGCTAGGTAGTGGCCCGGAATCCAGGCAGGGCGTGGGCTGAGAAGCACCCCCGGGCCCCGGCCCCCAGTGGCATTCCGTATAGCCTGGGCTAGGGCCTGTCTCAGCTGCTCAGCGGGGCTGTTAGCACTCAGGGCTTCCCGTGAGACACCTGGGAGATTTGTTCCAATTATCCCCGCGTTTTCGTGGCAGTGGATTGATAGAAAAGAGGAGGCGGATGTTACCTGCTGACAATTAGATTGCAGGAGGATTTAGGTAGGCGGCCTAATGCGGGAGTGTTTTACTCACAGGCCCTAGACGCAATCTTTGTAATATCACTGAAAGGAATTACGCCGCTTTTCTTTCTGTGAAAGCCCCTGACAAAACACCATTGTGGCACACCGTGACCTTCCGGAGGTTCAGAATGAGTCAGAGCTTGGGAGTTTATTTGGGGAGCGGATCGTCTACGGGGACTTTTCTTTCTTTCTTTTGCCAAAAGAACTTGTAATTCAGACTGGGGTTAATCTCCCCGGAGACCCTAGGAAGAATGGGGAGACCACCCACTGTCTCCCTCTCTTGGGGGTTCCTAACAAGCCCGAAAGCATTACACATTCTTGGAAGTTCTGTAGTGAGTTAGTTTACTGGACCACGTTTCCTCCCATATAATCTATCACTGAGTACGCCGTGCCCCCTCCCCCTTCCTCCTTTCTCTGTTTGGTTGACTTTGAAGAGAAACTGGGAGGTTAGGAGCTAGGGCTCGGAAGGAGAGGGGTCTATCCAGGTCCTCCTGGGGTAGCGGAGTAGCGCCCAGCACAACCGTGGCCAAAGACGCCTTGGGATCCGGGGCAGATTAGCGCCATTCCCAAGGGACCATCCTGGGAGGAAGCGGGGGAATGGCCAGCATCCTACAGGGCACCTTCTCAGCAGGTGGAATAACCGAGCTGCCCCTGCCCCCTCTGGATTTTTAAGAATCGGATGTGGCGCAAGACCCGGTCCCAGGTCCCTGGCAGCATCTGCGTGGGGGTTGACCCTAACCGGAACTGGGATGCAGGCTTTGGAGGTGAGTGGGGGGCTCCGGCAGCCAGACGCGTGTCCTCTGGCCCCCTTGCATGCTATTTTGAATCCCAAAGCCCTGCGAAGCCCAGGCAGGGTTTTCCAAGCTCTTTGGAAACCGGTGGAGATGCACCGCCTGGCCCCGGGGCCCAGCTCCGAGCTTGGAGCTCCGAGAGCGCTGCGCGCTCCTCTTGCTTTCCCCGCGGCCGCGGCGGCCGTGGCCGTGAAGCCGGCTCCGGCTCCGGCTCGGGCTGGGGCTCCGGCTCGGCCTCGGCCTCGGCTCGGCGTCCGCGCCGCAGGCCTTTGCCAAACGGCCGCCGGAAGCTGCGAACCAGCCGCTAGGGGGCGCGAGGACCTGCTCCGCCGAGAAGCATTACGTCATCTGTGGATGCTTCCAGAACGACAACTGAGCGAAGAATGACAAGTAGCGTTAAGACATTTGATTTCCAGGAGCGCCCCAATGATAAGTTATTAGCGCACTGCCTCCTTGCTGCTGTAACTGTGCAGGCTGTGGGTGGCCGGGGTGGTCGTGGTGGGGGGGCTCCTTTCTGCTTGTAAGCACCCTCATCAGACCCCTTCTTTTTAACTCATCGCGGGAGGGACATCTGTGTGCCTCACTGATGTTGTTGTCAGGTGCCACCGAGTGGCTTCGGACTCCTAGCGGCCGTATATAAAACAGAAGGAAACACTGCCCCCGCTCCTCACCAGGGTCTCCCCCTTTTTTCGCTGCCTCTGGCGAGGCTCTGCTAAAAGGGATTTGGAATCGGGTCCTATTGACCGGACAATCCCCAGTCCCTTGCAAAGTGTCAGGGCCATGGAAAACCATCGCAACACTTGTCAGACAAGGCATCCATGAGTGGCCTGTGTTCAAAGAGATGCCCTTGGTTGGAGCAAACCCTTCAACACGCAGCTGCTCACCACGGACGATTGGAGGTTCTGCAAGGGTTAGAGATGCTTCTGAAGAAAGGCCGGGCTATTTCCTCAAGATCGCAGGCTTTGGAAACCCTCTTCTGGAGCCCAGCCTGGGAGCCAGCGGGAGGACAACGCTCTGGTTCTAAAGAGTATTTGCTTGTGTTGGGGGTGGAAGCTGGGTTTCCACTGAGCCACTTCTATACAAATTGCCCCGCAACGCTGGCAACAAGTTTCACAGCGCGCCAGCATGCTCGCTGTTTCCATCGATTCCTGATTGTGTTTTAATGGAACCTGTCAGGACACATCAGGGAGTTAGGGCAGGGTTGGGATGAGGGGCAATTTCATTCATTGCTTTGACAAAATATTGTTTCGCAGTGTGGGGAGGGGGGGAAAGAGATCAAAACATCAGCTCCATGGCGGCATTTTCCTTGACATGTTATGGATCCTTTACGATCATCTTTAAATGCGGTGACAAAGGTGGTGTCTACAGTGTTGAACTCACTCGAGACCCTGGGGAGTCCCAGACCCCAGCAGTCCCCTCCAGCTTCTGTAGCAGACAGAGCTCCAGCCAGGGCTACAATGGACTCGCTCCAGTGGGCATGGACTGCTCTCATTGCAGGAGCATTTAGGCCCTGTCACCCTAACGATGGCCCTGTTGTTGCACGTAGTGATTTCCTCACTGTAGAAAGGGTATCAGAGATTCCTTTCCTTAGTGGCTTTCTGTCCTAATGCGGGCAACCTTTTAATACAGTTCCTCATGTGGTGATGACCCCCAACCGTAAAATGATTTTCATTGCTACTTCATCACTGTCATGTTGCTACTGTTATGAATCGGGCGACCCCTGTGAAAAGGTCATTTAACCTCCAAAAGGGTTGCGACGTTGAGAACTGCTGGTCCTAGAGGAACCAATAAATAGAATTTCCTACTCTTGGACTCTTAAGATTTGGGTGCGATCCCAGACACCAACTTGCTCAACTGCCACGGAGTCCACCACTAAATGTAAACCTGGCCTTTCTTCCGGTGGGAACTCTGCTTCCCCGGGGAGAAGAAGATTCGTTTGATAGCCCTGGCTGCCATGGGTGAGGGGCCCTGGGGGAGCAGAGGGCCAAGCACTAGGCTACTAACCACAGGATTCAAACCCACTCACCACTGGCAGGAGAAAGATGAGTTTGCTGGCCCTGGTAAAGATGAGCAGCCTTGGAAACCCTAACAAGCCGTTCTACTCTGTTTTGTACAGGCTCGCTTTCAGCCAGAATGGACTCAATGCAATTGGTGGAGTGAGTTCTCCCGTGTTAGAGAAACCATATTTTTTAGGAAGCGAAGGGAGGCCAGAATCATTTCATGTCGGCTTCTTGATTGCCCTGGTGGCACCTGGGTCTCTCACCCAGTCTTTCTCTGGATTCCAGAGGAAGAACTTCCTGATGTGTGCCCACAGTCTCCGTGCAGCAGCCCTTAAAGCCCTCTGCCCTTCCTTCTCTATCTTCTGTGTCTCATCAGGACCCGGCGCCAGTAAAAACCCTTGCTCTGATTCCTACCACGGACCCAGCGCCAACTCGGAAGTTGAAGTGAAATCCATTGTGGACTTCATCAAGACGCATGGCAACTTCCAGGCTTTCCTGACACTCCATAGTTATTCCCAGTTGCTGATGTTCCCCTATGGGTACAAATGCACCCAGTCCGATAACTTTGATGAGCTGGTGAGTTCTTGCCGCTTCATTTCAATCCTGTGGGCCGCCAGGGGTCAGTCATAAAGTTAGGCACCGGGCTTGGGGTGTGTGAGTGATGCGGCATAAAAGATGAAAGAGACAGAACTCCACCCATTGGGGAGATTGGGTTGCACATTTGAAAGACGGATGAGGACATTTCCAATATTGCACTTCTTTGGGAAATAAATTCATGGCATTCCTCTTGCCTTTATCTACAGGAACACGCCCAATTGAACCTTACATTCCCAGGGTGGGCTTTCTGTTGTTCAGGAATAGCCACTTGGATTGGTCCTGAGGCTCTCAGATCTGTAGCCAAATACTTGTGCTAAAGCAACGCTCCAACAGGCTCTTCACGTAGTACTTCCTTGGTGCTCTGAGTCCCGGGCCTGCCGTGGCGATGCGTCGGTGTGTGCTATTGGGAAGAAGACCCGCACCCCCCTAACTTGATGCCTTCCACTTATCTTTCCTGTTTTAGGAGTGAGCTGACCGGTGGTGGCTTTAGGTCAGGTTGTGACATCTCAGGAGACTGTTGATATTTGAGCAAGGACTATCCCCAGCCAAAGAGTCTGTGCCAATATTTACCACTGGGCTTTCAGGCTTGTGTGTGAACCCTCGGATGACATCGTTCGATCCGTTCTCCCTGCAAGTAGATTTTGTCAGCAGCCCCAGGCAGAGATGGAATGATTCCAAGTCCGACCTCTCTTCCCGTCTTATCAGTTGGCATATGTTCTTGTTGAACTTTTTTATCATCTGCTGGACTTTAGCCCAGTAGGGCAGTGTTCTGAGCACATATTGCCACCTAGTTGAGTAACAGCAAAAGAATGTCAGGGTCGGTGGCAGCCTGGAAACTATCTTCAGTAGGCCTAGATAATCTTACAGTGTTGCTAGCTGGTGCTCAAAACCTGCCATCTAGTCATAGAGCCGATAATTGAATACCTCAAGAAGGGACAGCTCCCAGCCCCCAGGGAAGCATGTTTCATGTCGGGGCAGGTCGAATTGCTAGATTCTTCTTTACAGAGAGCTGAAACTTCCCCACTACGGTGGCTGCCTCTCAGCCTTCCGCAGAACGAATTCATTTCCGTTGGAGAGGCGAACTCATTCTTCCTTGAAAACCAGTAGCCTGCCTTCTCAAGACCCTTCCTTACCCTGCTTGTTGCTAGCGGCTCCCGAGTTGTCCCCAGTTCGTTAGGACTGGGGTCCATAGGATGGTCACTGGCTGAGGTCTCAGAAGTAGATTGCTAGATCTTCCTTCCTCCCTTCCTCTCTTTGTGCTTGCTGGAAACCAATTTGTCTGCCACAAAAGAATCCAAGTCCGTTTCATTCTTGGCTCTTCCTCCTTTTACAGCCGCTCAGACCAACGTTTCGATCTGATGAGCAGGGACCCTGGAAGATGTATAAGGAAGTGACCTTTCACTCTCCCCCGCGCCCCCCCCCCATTATTATGATTATTTTTCTTAACCATTTTCTTGGCATATAATCCGCCTATCATACAAGTCAACAGTTCAAGTACATCAAGAAGAGCTGTACACTCATCACCACCCTCGGTTTTAGAACATTTTCTTCAATCCTATACTCATTGTTATTCGCTCCTCATTTCCTCCAACCTCCCCTTTATTTCTAGTCCACCTTAGTCCCACGGCCCCAAGGGAACCAATTCAGCAGCGTGGCATCAGGCGAGCCTCCACTGACAGACACGTGGTGGTTGTCTGTGAAGTGCATTGGCAGGGAATCGAACCCAGGTCTCTAGCATGGGAGCTGAGAGTTCTACCATTGATCCACGAATGCGTCCTAACCCTACTAAACGCCTCTGATGGCTTCAAGCACTTCCCAAAAGGCCCCTGGCTGCTGTTTTCTGGACTTCCGTTGGCTTGCCTGCGGTCTTCAAGGCCTTGGGCTGTGGCTTCACCGGTCCGGAGCTGAACAAGACAGTGCATTTTTGCTTGCACAGTTGAGGGACACATCCATTTGGGGGGCAGTAGTAATGTGCTGTTGACTCAGGTTGGGCTCAGTGACAGCTGAACCTCCCGGGCCCTCTTAGGGTGTTGCTGAGCCAGCTCCCCCATCTGGTAATCATACAGTTATTTTCCTGGATCCAAGGTCAAGACCTTACATTTATCCCTTGCAAGTACAGTAAAGCCTCAATCAGTCAAAGTTGGAACCTTTGAATAATGGAAACTATTTTGCTGAACTCGACTTCTTGGAAAAAGGAGCGGTCGCAGGGAAATACGCCACTGAGGGCTTTAGTTAAAAAACAAAACAAAACAGTCAACTCCTCAGGTCCCTCCTGGGCTCGGGGTACACCCCGTTGCTTGTCACCGTTCTGCACCAGGTGAGCTGGTGACTAAAGGACAGTGGTGGCATACTGTACCTGGGTGGTTGATCTAACAGTCCTGACCTTTACACTGCATTCCCCCAGCCACCATGTCATGTTGCTTGGGGGGAAATCGTTGACCTGAAAAAGGGGTTGTGCTTAAGCCCGAATGTACCAGTGAGTCCAGTTCACCTGAACATCCCATTCTTCATTCTGCTGAGGGGAGGGGGCATTCATTCTCCCAAGAGAAAAAAACAACGATGGGCCCATCCGTCTACCCTCCTCGGTTCTCTCGTTCTAGAATGAAGTGGCCCAAAAGGCAGCCAACTCGCTGACAAGGGTACATGGCACCCGTTACAAAGTGGGACCTATTTGCTCTGTCATCTGTAAGTATCCATGCACTGGAGGCTTTCATTATGGGCCCCTGAGATGAGAAGGCCCAGGGTGTTGGGAGGAAAAACCTTTGAATGGCCAACATGAAAGAGGTGGGCCTGCGGACAGAGACCCCAACCTGCCCCACCGCCCTTCCGTAAGGCGAGGTCTCCCCTGGGAGAGAGTGCACATGTGCTATGGGGAGCAAGGGTTTCTCTAAATGTTTGGACTTCACACTTGCTGCTAGACTTGTTCCAATGCTCAAAGCTCCTCCCACCATGCAGAATCTCTGCCTGGAAAATGGGGCTTTTCAGGACCTGTCCTAACTCAGGCTTCTAATCAATGTCCCTTTCCTTGGCAGAGGTTAGCAGAGGACAGAGGTCAGCAGAGGTAGATAGAGATGGGCAGAGGCGGAGAGAGGCGTAGGCAGAGGTGGAGAGAGTCATGGGCAGAGGTGAACGGAGATGGGCCGAGTTGAACAGATGTGGACAGACGTGGCCAGAAGTGGACATGGGTGGATAAATCATCCTTGACCAAGAGAAGCAAGTCTTCAGATGCTGTGGGCCCTGTCGGGGTGGGCAGCTGAGGAAAGGCCCACCTGTTAGCTTCTGCTTTCTCCTTGAGAGTTAGGAAACCTGTTTACATGCCGTGTCCACAACATGCACTGGGTCACTTACTGGAAGAGCGGAAACTACTGGTCTGGTAAAATGACAGGCAGCAAGGGTTTCTTCTAGGTGGGCCTGGACAGGCTGAGGGCTCATGGGTCAGGTCACTTGCTCGGTCAGGTCACTGACAGGCAAGGGAACAGACCATTTCTGCCAGGCAGAGCTCAGAATAACACCAGGATTTGTTGTGTGATTTTTGCCGCTGGACCACAAATGGTCTAGCAAGTTCTGGCTGCAGCCTTGCCTGCGCTGACGCGGTGCCCTGGCCTCTTCTCAGCCTGGGTGAGCCCTGCCTCGGCCCCAATTAAGTCTTCTCTGCCACCTGCCCCAGGATGGTATGCACAGGGCTGAACACCTGCCCGGCTGCCCCGCCCAGGAGGTGCCTGAGACACTTCCGGTGCAGCTGCCTATCTGGAAGGGCTCTGAGGAGACACGGTCCGTGTGTGGTCCAGAAGTTTCTGGGGTTCTTTTGCAAGGGAGGAGGAGGGGGCACAACCCAGACCTTGGGCACTGAAGCTTGGGTTTGAGTTCAGGCTCTGACACTCTGGGACCAAGCGACCCTGGGTAGGTCACTCAACTCTCCTTGGGCTGGTCCTCCTTGCGATGAGTTGTCAAGAGGCACCAGACGGGGCTGTAGGCTCGGGGTGTCCGCTGGAACACCGGCGCCTGCCGGACTCTCCTCCAGACGCCCCTGCTCATCTTGGTGGGGCCTCCTCGCTTTTTCAGTGAGCTCTGTGGCCACCCATTGAGCATGATCCTTGGGATCAGAGCAGGCACCCGTTGAATGCCTGCTCTACATCCACGGTCCTCAGTGCTCCGTTCCATCTCACTGCATCTCATTTTACTTGGGTGACAAATGGCCGTGAGACTCGGACCTGGCGCTGACCATGCCGGAGGTTCAAGGAGCCAGTGTTAGCCTAGGGCCGGGACACGTAGGGAGCAGTTGCTCAGTGTTGTTCCCATGGCCATCATCATCCTTCCGGCCTCACGACCTGAGCCCCTGTGACAGAGGAGGCAACTGGGGGTTGGGGGAGGTTAATTCGTTTGCTTCAGGCCACCTAGTGAATGATTTGCAGAGGGCAGGCGGCATCTCTCTGAAGTCATCCTGTGTCCATTAGTGCCCTCTCCGTGGGATCAGCCGTGTCCTGCAGCCACGTCAACCAGAAGAAAACCCAAACCCCAAACCAAACAGAAAACCCAAAGCCACCGTCAACGAGTTGATTCGGAATCACAGGGTCCCAACTGGGCTGTGTTGCCTTGTCTTTCTCCTGTGGAGCAGCTGTTGGGGTGGGAATCACAGACTGTTTCCTTAGTAGCTGAGTGCCTTAGACACCTTAGTGTACGATTCCACTAATCCCCCTTGTTGTGGAGTTAATTCCAACTCCCCGCGACCCTGCAGGGCAGAGCAGCATTACAGCAGCCGACGGCCATGTCTTCTCCCAAGGAGCAGATGGTGTGTTTGAACCTCCCACCCCTTGGTTCGCCGGGGAGTGCTTTAACCACTGAACCACCAGGACTCCTAGCCACACCCAAAGTAGAAGTCCTTTGGCTACCCAAAGCCCATTCAGTTCAAGACAGCAACTGTGTCCAGTTTGTCATGTATTAGATGCTACCACAGCTGCTCAGGAACCCTAGTGGCATAGTGGGTTGGGCTACTAAGCTCAAGGTCAGCAGTTCGAACCCACCAGCCGCTCCTCAGGAGCCTCGGCAACCCTATATGGGGTGGTCATGAGTTCATCGATGACAGTGGGTGGGTTGGACAGGACCAGAGCTGCTTGGGGGTGAAGACAGACAAAGACAAGGACAAAGACATCACAGGTGTTCACAGGATTAATTCACATTAGCCGCAAGCCCTACTTTTCCCAACTACACTCTTCCTGGGTTTACCCTTAGCCCAGCCCTTTTCTTCAGGGACTAGGCCACTTTGTCCACCTGCCCTAGTCCTGCCCTCCACTTGCCCTCCGTTCAGAATGCCAGCTTCCTTTGTCACCTGTCATGTCCGTGTTGACACACCTCACGGGCACATTGCTGCACTGGCTTAGTCCATCCGTCAAGGGAGCTGGGCATGCTGTCAGATAGCTGGGCTGAATCTCCCCGCCCTGTACTTAAAGTCCCCTGAGGGTAAGGACCAAACCTCCTACTCTGTAATCCCTCTTTCTGCGATAGAGAAACTAGAGGCTAAGCCAAGCACCGACCAAGAGAAGGACCACAGGGAGTGTGTGTGTGTGTGTGTGGGGGGG